CATCTCATCTTGCGGCACTCTCATCGGACAAGCATGGACCAAGTCAGCTTTCGGCGTCACACTCATACGAATGAGCAACCAATGGCAGCGATGGATTCTCTATTTCTGTATCGTCACGATGAACGTATACATGATCGCCAAGGTTGTCGTTCAGTGGGGAAAAGTTTGCGGTAGCAAGAGTTACGACGGCGACTACCGACTGAATTTCTGCCTCGAAAAGAAATTCCGCGACGACTTCAAGGAGGGTGGAAACGGTAAGTTTCAACTGATGGCAGGCAGTTTATGTCTGATTGCTTTTTGATCATAAGGTCTTGGACTGACTCAAGTGTGTAGTTTACAACATCATCATGGACTTCGTCTTTGCGTGCTTCCCCTGGTTGATCACCCGATCGCTGGAAATGAGACGCGCTGAGAAGGTTGGCCTATGTATCACGATGAGTTTAGGAATGATGTGAGTTTAAATCATATTCATGATTTTGATGGTTTTGGCAAAATGCTAACTCTTACTCAGTGTCGCCATTGTTGCCGCCATCAGAGTAAGCTGGAAAGATGAGGGTAACGGTCGTGATCAGTGGTATATCTGTAAGCCAAGCAACCCAATCTTGATGAAATCTCACATGAATCGCTAATACGATCTGATTACAGGGCGCAATGGCCTGTCCCAAGTCTGGTGAGTAGTATTCTGAGGAGCCGAGTTCCGTGCCATCTCCACTCAAGGACGCGTTCGCTAAGATTGCACCAGGTACTCGTCGGAAATTACCGGCACCATCATCGTTCAGTGCATCCCCATTCTGCGCCCAATCCTCAGGGAAATCCACACGTCCCTAACCTCCAAGAGACTGGAGTCTACCGCCGGAGGCCAGAGCACAACCTTTGGAAGCAAGCTCAGTAGTGGCAAGCGGATATCGACGGGCGTGATGCAAAACGACAAGCAAGGAAACGAGCGGATCGCGCTCCGCGAGATCCCCGAGGAGCCCGCCGACGACTCACCGTACTGGAAGCAGGATCCCGCCCGCTCGTCCGACTCGACGACATCGCCGTCCGAGACCGACTTTAAGCCGCGCCCGCCCACCGCACCGCTGCCCGACATGTGGCCGCTATCAGGAAACGAGAGTGCAGATCTCAACGGATCTCACTCCGGTAAGAGCTTGGATTTCGAGCACGACCCTCACAACATCTCCCATTTAGATGTCGAGCAAGGGCATGTTCAGCAAGGGTTATCGCCGCCACCGCCTCGCAGGTTTCCTTAGCCATGGTTAGGAACGAAAAGAAAGAAACGATGTCAAGATTATTTCACAAAAAGGAGGCAATAGCAGACCGAGAACGCATCCCCATCCGGCAGATGTGATTGGACTCTTCACCTCGGCAAAGAGACACCAGACGGCTTCGAGAATCATGAGAATATAGAGAATGAGCCCACCGAGCAACAGAAGAGGTTCCTTCACCACGCCCAACCTACCTCATAACCTCCACTTCTCCCCGCCAGCAAACCCGCCATACTGGATGTTTTGTCCATGCGGTGGCTTCAGTTGGGGTCCCAGGGTCAATTCAAGATCCCTTGACCCGACGTTCGAAAGCTAGCTACCATACCTCTTTTGTTGCGCAACACGACACGACTCTTTCTCACTCACTCACTCATGCACCACGACGATCATCGAGACCGGCGCGGTCTCAACTCATGACAACAACTCACGTCGCTGGGATATGAAGCTTTCCTCAGGGAACATCCTGAAGGGAAAAAACTGGAGTTCACGGAGGGGAAGGTACTTGGGATGTGGGGGAGCGCGAATCCGGCGAAAATTAGCCCTTGTATATTACTCGCGTTATTTGGATTGGCAGCGGAAATTGTGTGTATACTTTTAACGATTGGGCATCAAGTTATCCCCATCAAGTACATAGTTCATCATCATTATCATCATCAACAACACCAACAACAACAAGTTACATATCTTGCTGGAAACACCTCGTCCCTTTTCGGTCGCCCCATCCAGTGTGATCGCCTCTCTCGTCATTTGGCCCCCTTTTGCTCACCACCCCTCCCCTAGACCGAGGCTGAGCATAACATTGAAACAACGGTCCGGGGGCGATCTTTGGAACGGCGAACCTGGGAACCTGGCCGTGACGCAAACTTGTCAAAAAACTGACATGCCGCACCCCAGTTGAGCACTTTGCGTTCTTCAGGGTTGCGACCTGTTGTTCTCTGACGGAAATGGCTATGACATCAAAATCCTCCGATGCTGCAGTCACTCAAAAGAGTTAGTGTGGCAGCTGTCTTGTCAATTAGCCACATGCAACCACACCGAAACTCTGAGTTGAGTGCATGCGACCGTTGGAGGGAAAGGGGTAGCCGCAAGGTCTCAATTGAGAACATGTTCGTCTCTAACGATCTTTGGTCCCATCAGTTAGCCAAACCTTCAATTGCGATGAAGAAACCTCTGAGCAATTTACGGGGTACTCTAGCGTGACTGACGTGCATTTGTCTCGCGTCGGGCAAGGGGATCATACCGAGAATACCTAGGTACCTAGAGAATGTTGATCGGCGTCATGCTCATCTGAGTTGAGAGCAACGTAAGGAGTAGTGATTCTACGGCAGTTGAACGATATGGGAATCCACTACAACAAGCACCGGGGCTCTGGAATCCCGCCATATGCAGCGTGCTGTGATTGACAAATGGCCCGGGTACACGATGCCGTCCGACTGGTGCAAGTCACACAACATTCTTCTCAACGGTGACTTCTCGTAGCCAGGCACGAAACACGAGACAAGGAAACACGAGTAATAACGCGCGCCGATTAAGAGAGTGCTCAAGCCTTTTCCCCCGAAGATTGTCATAAGATGTTGCACATCATAGCCACCCCAAATACCAAACCCGTGGCCTCCCATGTTTGATCGTCTGTATAAGCTTGTTAGAACATCGCGTGCGCGCGGCGTTCAATATGTGATACGCCTTATGTTCCTCATCGCCAGCAAGGGTGTTGGTCGTCCAAAGGGGGATGTGTGGCATGGCTTGGCTTGAACCTGCGACAGGTGCAAGCGATCCGTGCCCACGGTGTCCACGCTGCCTCCATGCGGACAGAGTGTCAAGATGACTTGGACGAACGACATCTGATGGGTTTGTTTTCGGACGAAGATGGAACGACTGGACTTGGACAGAGATACGATATGCTACTCCCACCTTCCCGATGGACAGTATTCAGGCCGGTTTCAAGACCCTGTGTTAACGAAAAGTGTGGTGTTGCACCGTTGCACGTCATGTCCGTGGAGAATTACATGGCATATCAGGCCCCAACCACAACAGCTCCAATGGACCACGGGCAAGAGCTTCGAAAATACCGGAGGATGCACATGCCAATTGAGAGTTCCTCGGGGCGAGCGGAATGATTGATTATTTGTTTGGTCCAAGGACTTGGTTTACAATGCTTGGCCAATTGCCTCGGTTTTCTAAATTCTCTCACTAGTACCTTAGTGCAAGACTAGTAGTCAAAGCTCTCGAGTTCTCAGTGATAGGACATGCATACACCTGGTAAAGGTTTTCTTTGCAATTCATCATAGTGCGGGTTCTCGGAGTTGCCAACTGCCAGCCAATGGCTTTGGAAGCCTCAATCACAAGGACATAGGTCTGACTACGCGTCTCCCTTGTAACGAACTCAAGCTACTGCTCTGACACAAGGATCCTCCCGGCGCCACCTTTATGAAGACACTTCATTTTTGCCATTGGTCTCAATAGCTTCGGTCCAAAGATAGCTAGGTAGGTTGGCTTCTGGGTAAACACATGTAAATTCCATACAACCTCCGGACTTCCCATATAACAGTTCCCATTTACACTCAAAATGGCCCACTGTTGCATTTCAATTGATCCGACGATACGTGGATTCGGCCGATCAACAGTTCGCAGTCGCACTCGTTCAACGGCGGGGAAATGCGGTGAAAATATGGGACTTTTATATGGACATCACGCCATTCCGGGGAGCTGGAAAGATTGTTGACGGGCAGAAGATCAGAGTGCCGATTCAGTGCAACGCTGCTACCTAAGTTCGGGGCAGCTTCATAGAAACTTCATCCGTCCATTCTTGGCAATTTACACTCTCAATCAACTCCTTTGAAAATGTCAGCGGTGTTAAGCCCACACACAAATGGAAAGACATGACTCAACAGCTCGTCAAAGCGTATCTTGAACACTATTCTCTTGCATTATACCGAGTCAACCGACGAGAGCTAAAAAAGGAAGCTAACGCAGACGATCCTAATCATCGGGACGGCCCCAGCGATGGTTCCCACTATCTAGATTAAGTCCCCCAAAGTTAAAAGGTGAGCTAGCACGCCCGACTCCATGGTAAGCACGTCAGGCGCTGATAAACTGATAGGGTTGCGGTATTCATGACCATGTCCTCTGGGCAGATATTTGTTGGTCGTTCTTCTGCCCTCGTTCGCCGGAACTGCCGTCGGCCGCGTCACGGCTCAACCGAACACCAGAACGCGGGTTTTGTACACATCTACTTTAGAATATCATGAACCTGATAGAAGGGTCTTTATAGTTAGAGTTTGGCTCTTGCCTCGGCACGAGAAACGCAGCTTGGTAAGCCAATAACGCCTTGGCGGGTGGTTTGTTGGAATGCCGTTGCGCAAATTTAGCTTCGCTGGACTTCGGGTCTTTCTAGCTGGGCCTAAATCTGATAAAGAAACTCAACGTCGATATGATGACGGAATGAAGTCGCTTCAACGATTCATGTTGGCATTATGAGAATTCGAGCTTGAGGAGAACTTAAAACGCACTAGAATAATGACTTCGTCATTCCGTAGTCCCCGGCGGCATTCGTGGTAGACTTTGAGCTTGGATATGTAATCAAATTTCTGAGGCTTTGAAATCTTCTGTGCATAAGATAATAAGATGTGTGGGAAAAGTATCTAGAATGATGTGCGAGGGAAACTCGTCCTTGAGCGCCAAATGACATCAAAACTTGATGGCAAGAATAATCAATAAGACCAACAGAGATGACTCTTAATAATACCGCTCCTTCCGACTCACATCCAGCTTTCTCGTGTGTGTTGTCTCCTGGAAAGCTAGTTGAATATTGCGTTTGTCGTCAGACTCCGCTCTCACAACCTTCTCCCACACTTTGTCAGAAGTAACACCAGCTCCAGCATCTGCCAGATCCTCATCAGATGGAGGCGGCGTCTTGAGTGCGAGTACGATCAAGTCTTGTAAATCTGACCATGGTATCACGCTCAGGACACGGATGCGCTCCCCACCTGACTTGACCTTGAGAAGCTCCAACACGTATCCAGTTCCCACTGTTGCGGCGTAGACGGCGATGATGCCGAGGTAGATCAGCATCATCACCTGGGCAAATTCCAGCGTTTTGCGACCTTGTCCTGATCCGTATCCGTAGCGCTGCGCAGTAAAGTTGATTGGCAAAGCCGTGTTCAGCACCTCAGTGAAAGCTGCAAAAGTTGTGTTGCGCTGGGTCGTGCTGTCTCTCCACTCATCCTGATGATGAGTGTTGTTGAAGGGAGTGATTTTATGAACACCTCCGAGGTAGCCGTGTTGCTCGTTCAAGTCGAGGTAAGTTAGCTCGGTGTCAGTACTATTGAGCTTGATCCGGGTTCTCTGTTCTTGACTGTTCCGTGCCAGACCCTCGGCGAGGTAAACTCCAAAGACTTTGGCCAGAAATATTTCTGATGCTGTATTATTCGCACCATCGACTGGAGCCAAAACGTTCACAGTTTTCCCATTCACCTTTAACTTCGAAGAAAAGTTGAGGATGATCTGACTAACACCCGAGGCGGTGGTCGTGTTTGATATATTCCAGTGTGGGTTGAGAAATTTGAACCAATTCGACCTGAATCTTATTACTCGGATGTCTTCTTGACTCTTGCCGTAGTACATGTCTCGCATGCTTCTGTCGTTACTAAATGTTGATTGAAGACTGTCACTGACGCTTGGGTCCATTGAGAAGTTAGACGGCGCCCAACTTGCGTACAAGCTACAGATGTAAACCAAGTTTCTCGATTCCCCAGACAATGAGTCGGGTATCATTCCATTCAGGTACACAACAGTTGAGTTTTCTTTGTCCAGAAAGAATGTGCTTGAGGCTGAGATATTGTCGAGACTCGAATTGTTCAGCCAGTCTGCTTCGTTAAATTCCCTAGGTTTTCTTTGGGATTGAAGACAATCGGCATCATCGAAGCAGTTGATAGATTTCGTTGGAAAGCTGATAGATCCCGGAGTATCTGCTAAGTAACCTTTATCGTGTATTGTACACCTGGACTGTACAAATGGTTGGTAGAACCCCGATCCCTCTCCGGTCGGTGACTTGACATTGGCGCCTCCTTTGGCTGTAATTCGGTAGCGAGGTTCGCGGGATAGGGCACCAACATCGGAGCTGTGGATGAATTGTTGAAAGAGACCGATGCTGGTCATGAGGAAGTGCGATGGCGTGGTGGTAAGCGTGGTCGAAGATGTGTTAGGCTTGTCATCGGCTTGCGTGAACACTAAATGGCGCCTAATATCTGACGACGTGGAATAAAATGTGAGATTGTTGGTCAAGTCGGTGGCTGCGTAGTCCCGTACCCAGCTCGAGATCACAGGGAACCCGCCAGCTGGACAATAATCTCGATAGACCCCCGCAGGTCCTTGGCACTCCGTGTTCTCGCTGAAAGGGTCTCTGAACCATATGGCCCTCCGATTCCACCAGTACAACAAGGGCGGCTCGATTTTGCTGAACGCCGAGCTTGTATCAAACTCGTACCAACCCAAGCTGGGTAGAAGGAGGACCGCAGATGCTGGTCCAACAATTGTCGAAAGTATGGTCGCGAAGACAAGGAACCCGGGTAGTAGCATTTCCCAGGGCTTTGACCTGTTGAGACCTTGGTGGCGGAACGACGAAGTTCGAAGGTAGTTGAGATCTCCAACTCGATAGCCCCCAGTGAGAAAGCCTAATCGCACACCAGTTGTGACGAGACGTCTCCGATACATCGCAAGAGCAATCGAAGACAATGATGCCACGATTAGAAGTTCGTGCAGTTTGGCTACAAACTGGAGAATATTGCTGATGATATCGGTGTCCAGTCGATAACCGCTCACAAGCGGACCTATCTCCGGATACCAGTAGAATTGTATTGAACCAATGAGTAGGACGGCTGTCGTCACCAGTATAGCAGGGAGGTGAACGATCCATCCGTTAAAGTAGCGTGACCATTCAGTTCGAGTGATGGGTTTCGAGATCTTTGAACCTTCCATACCGGGTAAAGTAGACCTGGAATCCTGTTTGCCTCGGTGCTGTGTAGGTCCGAGGCCCCCTTCATATTGGTCTTGAAGATCTCCCGTAACTTTTGCATATGACCAGTCACTCGTTCGCCTGCCGCTCGAGCGCTGAGTTTCTTCGTCAACACTCTTGGTTCGACTAGATAGCAGTGGCCTGTCCCACGATGTATCTTCGTCAGTCAGTTGTGACAACGTAGAGATTGGTCGAGGGGACATCTCATAGTGGTCTAGTGGTGGACTGATTAGAATATCAGGAGAGGGCTGGTTATCGAGTGGAACTCCTCGACTCCATGCCCTTTGCGACATGCTCTGGCGTCGATGCCGCTCAGATTCTTGTTGGGTTGGATTCATCGCATCCGAAGGAGGAAAGTACTCGGCGCCGACAAGTTTTCAAATATACGCGGTCAAGACCACCACGCCTTGGTACCGAAAACAGAGACGAGAGAGATGAGAAAATCAGACAAAGAAGGTTGGATTGGGATCATGGCTGCTAGTCATAAATATGCAAGAAGTCAATAAATCATACCCAGCTGCTACCGACGGACCCGTCCATCAGAATTGAGATGACCACCCCCTCAGACCATACTAGTTGGGAGTGGATGCACTCACCCTGCAGACGCAGCCTGATGTCAAGCCACTAATTAAATATAGCCAAGACAAGTTCTGGTGCCTTCAAAGCCCCCACGATAAGAGTTAGAGTCAGGTTGTCGTCAGCTGTTTATCAAAAAGATTACAGATAAATCAGTGATGCGAAACACTGGCAAATATGAGGCTCTTGTAGCAGCTCAAACGAGTAGATGGACTCACAATAGTAATACCCTGAGGTTTTGATGGGTGATACATGAGATTGAAGTTTTCATTTTTGTGTCTACTACCAATCTCACTGCTGTGGAAAAAAGTCTCCAACATGTCCCGCGTTTTGAAGGCTGTCTCCACTATTCCATAGAGGAAACGGAGGCTCAAAGCCTTGTAATACAGGCCAAGGCACGAACAGCGGTTACTCGAGATCGCCATATCAATGAAATCAATCAGGCTGTCGTATCGGCAGACAGAAAGTGTCTGCCTAATGGACAAGGGTAACATCACCAATCACACAAAAGGCACTCAGCCCCAAGGCAGGGGGTGTTCTTCGGGAACAGACATGATGGCCCCCAATGTGGCTACCTCGTATGCAGTCAGCATTACCCATACATCACCATTTTGACGGAATGGATGACCAGCTCGACGGAATTCGAATGCCCGTTGGTCTCTCAGGATTGGACAACGCAAAGCACTCAAAGCTTCGATAAGGCTCGGGGAGGCGCAGTCTTTGCGGCTTAGATATATGATGTGCACTCTAAATTGGCTACCATAGTCCGAGACTTCTCTCTTCGCCATCGTGTCAGCTTGGGTGACCACGCGGTAGTTTGTGAGAGAAGACTTTGTAGTAAACCGCTTCGGGCTCGATCGAGTGACCATCACTCTGATAAGAAGGCATGTGTAGATTGGTTCAAATAGAGACACTGAAGGCCTTCAGTCCTGTTTCGATTCGCCCGAGTATAGCATAAGTAAAGAGCTGCATCGCGCTGATACTCTCTTACCTTTGCTTCATAGTGAATGCATGGCTCTCAGTAGGTAGATGGTTCAATTTTTCGACCAGAATTCATTCACCTGGGATCTGTCGCAAAAATGACAGTGCACCCTCAATCACGGCCGGTCATAATAAAAGCAATGTACACCATTGTGACGAAGATTGAGCCAGGTCGTGATTTGACATTTTGCCTTCAGTAGAATTGGAGATTAATATATCGAAGAGACGTTCGATGAAAATATGACGTTCATGCCAAATGAGCACCTCTTTCCCATGACCTTGAACGACGGAATTGAATATTCAAACTTTCGCTTACTGCCGGTCCGAAACTCTCGCATCAACTCATACGCCGCAGGTTGCTCAGCGTGCCCTGTGCCTTCACCTTCCGCGTGGCAGTTGTGCCGCGGTCCAGCAGATCCTGGATAGAGTTCATGACTTGCAGGCGCTTCATAAGCCGGATTGGATCAGCATGCCAAGCCTTTTGGCGGCACTTGCTCCCCAATAACAAGATCTGTATTGAATGGTGGATAATGGATTCCAACGTGGGAAACTGGGATGAGGTTGTTTGGTGCAGCATTGAATGCGACGCATGCACACCAAGTTGTTTTTTTCCAGGTTTCATGAAGATTGATAGGATGTGTGCCGCCATATATCAGTGGTCGTAATGGAAACTCCGCTAAATTTCTCTGCCGTGTCGTGCCAAGCCGCCAGAACCACAAGTACCGGAATGCCGTGGATGTTAGAGCCGCGCGAAAGTTTCACAAAGAAAGGAAGAGGATTTCAGGTGGTGTCTAAGAGCATATCTATTCATGCGTCCAAAGACGGGTATATACACTGACGATGCTCTGTTTAACGGGTTGCCTCCAGCCGAAGCCCATCCCCTCGATCAAAGTGCCGAGGGACGATCGTCGAGGCTAACTGATGTACAGTGAATAAGAAACAAAACTGTCCGAACAACTATGCAAGTGCAGGTCATTGACGGACTATGAAGCATTCTCTCCGGAATGCTCGACTTCCCCTTGATCAACATGACAGGCCTGCCGTCTGCCTTTGCAGTGATGTTCATATTGGAGTTTTTCATACCATGATTTCCACACAGCATGGAACCATTTAGTCAACGAGGAAGAGGTCGCGAGCGTGGTTGCGGCGCTTCTTGGAGCTGTACAGAGCAGGTCCAGGGATGGGGTAGCTGGTAGCACCGCTGTAGATGTCAAAGAGAACACCCTTGTCGTTGGCAGTGTACAGGCTGGTACCAGCAGTGCCGGAGGGGTTGGCGGAACCGCTGCCAGTGATCTTGAGGTTGATGCACTGGGGGTAGAACTGGGCGCCGTTGGCCTGGCCAGCGCTGTGGAGGGCAATGATCTCGTGGCGGAGAACGTAGTTGCCGGGAGCAATGTCGCTGGGGATGGCGATGTCCCACTTGAGGCCGTTGCTGATGAGCTCGTCGGCGGCCCAGCTGCTGCCGGTCAGACCCTTCTCGGCGATCTTGAAGAACTTGAGATCGGCCTTGGTGGCGCTGGAGCAGTCGCCGGAGCACTTGGCGAGATAGTCGATGAGAGGACCCTTATGAGACTCGGGCCAGGTGTTCCACTTGACGGTGACTGTCTCTCCGGCGGCGACCGTGACGCTGGTCTTTCCGGGAGTGGCGGACTTGTGGCAGATGATGTCGGCCTGGCCAGCAGCGTCGGGGGCAACGAAGCCGAGATCCTGCTGCTGAGCAGCCCAGCCGGGGACATCAGGGGCGGGGTTTTGGTAGGGGGCAGTGGTCGGGTTGTAGTTGTCGGTGGTCTTGCCGCCGGCGGTGATGGTCTCAACGTAGCCGTGGGCAGAGACGGCGGTGGCGCCGACCAGAGCAGCGAGGAAAGCCTTGGTGTACATCTTGAATGATTGTTGGGGTTTGTTTGTCAAAAACAGGTGGATCAAGTGGTGAAAGAACGGATGAACAGCTCACAGAGCAAAGAATGAATTGGGTCAAAGAAGGGTAGGAGCTGGAGAGCAATGCGGGTGAAGTGAAGGACGAAGTGGAAAGCTTGGTTAAGAGAAAGGAGAGATAGAAGCTGGATTCGAGGCGTTTCTTATACTCATGTCCAACACCTTCCTGCCCAGACAAAAGTTCAGATGCTGAGCATCCCGCATCGTGGAGCAGTGGCCCGACGTCCCGTCAAGGGGAACGAGGGTGTGGACAAACAAGTCCGTAGTTCCATGTCACTCGATGAAAGCCCGTGTTCAGCATAATCCCAGTAAACATACCAAATCAGATCCCAAACAGGCGGCAGAGGTCTCAGAAGATGTCTAAAGTCTTGGTATTCCCTTATGAGAGCTTCGCTTCTGAGTTCTAGCTCTCAGCTTCTACCGCAAATCGTCGACATCACTATCGCGAAGCTCAGCGAGAGGCGGAAGGCTTCTTTGTCACTCGACAGACGCCCAAGCCCCTTACTGCCGAGCTCCAGCGTCTTCCATTTGGCTCAAACAAGTCTTTCTCCTGTAAAAGGAAAGCTGAGGTCTTGGCGATAACGAACAACGGAGAACGTCCCCCCGTACGCGTGGGCTCGGGCCACTGAGGTTGGCCGCAAAAACATTGGACGGACCACAAAGGCGGAGCGCCGGAGACTGGCCACATGGATGACAGATCAATCTATTTCGCACGGGGGCGGTGGGTAACAAAGTCTCGGCGGGATCGGCGGTCACATCGGGGACGGGGCTCGTGGTTGAATTAGTTGGCGGAACAGGAACGCGGACGACCGCATTGGTGGGAGCGAGACAGCTCGCGGGTCTGATTCTGAGCCTGGGCCATTCTGACAGACCTGGGCGGCAGTCGGGATCATCTACCGGGAGTCCGCATGGGCAGCCCCCCGACGCTTCAAGTTGAACGTTAGACCAACGCCTGGTGCTGGCGGCGGCCCCGACCAGCGGCAATCGAAACTTAAGGAGGCGCCGCATCTATACTTCAAAAGCTTGGCTTAATTCATTTGTTGGTGTCGCTTACTGTCGTGGCACCAACGTCTCGACCGCTTGTTTACAGCTGCCGGTACTGGTTGTAGTGTTTTCAAAACGTGCACTTGACACTCTACTGTGAACTCGTCGAGTCTCAGTTGATGTTCTACCGAGCCATCAAGTAGAGTTGGCGCAAGACTTGGTAATGAAGTGGAAGCAGAAATTCCAATGTGACGGAAGATCTGGGGGCGCCCAATGTGGCCGGTAGTTGCTTGCATGACGCATGAGACGGGCCCAGGGCTTAGTGATGGATACTGGTGTCTCCTCGCGGAGCACTGCTCCGTTTAGGTCTTCTGTGATGATGAATGGACAAGTCGAAGAACCTAGACAACAAAACTGGAAACCTCAATGTTTTTCGCGTTCACGGCCATCCTTCCGCAGCTCGTTGCGACGGTGTGGCGTTCATGGGCCTCGTCATCATCTTTCATACAACTCGAACCGAGTGTTGACGGGTCATGAAACACGGAAAAGACAGGCCTCTCCCTGGTAGCGAAGCCCAGCCGACCGACGGGAGAGGACAACTTTAATTAATCTTAATTCTTGGCGCTGCTCTTTATAGGTCCGAGCTCTACTTTTTCTGTCCAAGGATCCTGGGAGAAATCCACGTTGCGCAATCAATTCGGATGCAAGCGAGCAAAGAACAAAATGTCCAGCCCCAATCCAGATGAAAAGGGATGAAACAAAAGCGGCCTAAAGAAGAAAGGGAGTCTTGCAGTCTGGTGACGTGACGACAGTGTTCATTCCAACTCTTATGCTTAAAATTTTGATCATGGACATTTATGAAGTA